TCTGCACTGTCTAATTTCTTGCTTTATGTCTACAGTGACCTGATGTTGTGAGCATTTAGCTGGCATTGGTATTTTACCTTCTACCTCCACAAAGGCAAGGAAAAGTTCCAACATACGCAGCTCCCAGATATGGCAATTATTTTTAGCTTACATCACTCTCCTCCTTGGGCTGGCTGCACTTACTTAAAATAGACTTCATTGGGGTGGCACAGATATCTGCCAGTGGCTAATTAAATTAAGGGTTCCATCTGGACTCATGGATTTAACTCAGAATTTCCTTACATTAATGATTTCACTGTGTAACAACATAATTATAGAAATCAGTTGTCACATCCAAAATAAGTATACAAGTATAATCCTTGACTATGTCACATAAACCCACACATCTTCAATTACTGGAAATGTAAATCCATTTTCACGCTTTTAAAAAAAATTTTGCTTAATAAATGTTTATTTTACCTGTGCCAAATACTTTTTCCATATTTATAAAATATGGCCTCTGAAAACAGTCCTATTTTACATCAGGTACAAAACACAAATTATCAACCTTAACTGCTGATATTTTTGGGTTTTGAACAGATATTGATCTTTCAACAGAACAAAACAGGTTGGCTATTACTTTCTTCTGCTCATGTTTTGTGTTATACATAGGGAATCCTTTACCAGTAACGTTCCTAAGTAATGGGTTCTGGACATGCATACTATAGCATATTTTGTTAGCACATGAATGGAAATATCCCAGTCTCCAAATCTCATCTATTGCAAGCTTTAAAAAATTACAAATGCTCCAGAGGGAACAGTAACTATGCCCATTGCACAACTTGCATTACTGGTGATAACTGAGCAAAAATTAACTTCACATCACGAAAGTGCAAAGCAAAATAAAGAAATTAAATTATTTGTATCAAGTTTGGCTATATCCGCTAAATATATTCTAACCATTCTAAGAGAAAAAAACAGAAGGCAAACAGGCAATGAATAAAACCAATAATGGTCAATAGCATGTGTTGCATGTTTTTTGAATGGAAAGTAACTTATAACATCTGAAATAAAAGCTGCTTATTCTTGTGTTTCACTGTCTATAACAATCCTTGCAATTTATCTGTGAAAAAGTGAGAAACTGTAACTCCATTAGCATATGAATACTTGACACATCAAATTGGTTGTACAATAACAGAGGAACATTTGCTATTGCTGTGTGCACACAGACAAAGCAGCCATTTTGAGGGGGGAGAGGGAAAAAATAAAATAAAATGGTGTGAGTATTTAACCCATTGTTTGTGTCTCGGTTTCACATGGCAGTTTTGATCAGTGTAGCCAGGTAGAGTGGCTGGAAATTCCAAACCCAAGATGCAGGTTGAATGCTGATACAGAAATGTGTTAAATTTTTATTAGATAGTAGTGGATGAGACAATAAAAGAAATGCAAAAACCTTGTCCAAAATAAGTAAATTTGTGCAGTCTTTTAATGTGTGCACCTGGGGTGGGGTGAGTACAGAAATGAGGAAATCATACAGAAATTAACTATTTCCTATGTACAGTTTTATTTCATGGCAACAGTATTGTGAGCCTTGGGTCAGATGTGTGAAACTATTTCTCAGAGAAGCTGCATACATAATTGAGGCCCTATACAGGGTTCTCAGTTGAAGTTGCCAGGCTACATTCATTTCAAAAGCAGAGCCATTTGTTATCAAATTTAAATTAACTCTCTCGGCCCTGGGTACCTAGTTTGAAGAGTAGCTTTGCAGACTGTACGTGCTGTCTGAGGAAGGAGGAGTGGTGCCTGCTTACTGACTGTAGTGTTGTTTTACAAAGAATGGAAATCTTTTCCGTATTTAGACCTGAAAAGCAGTAATTTAAGAAGGTAGATTTCTGAGGGATAACTTTATGCTTTTTTATCTCTTGAAAGACACACTGGTCTTTATTCTCCCGTTCTTTTCTTTTCCTTTTAAAAAAAAAAAAAAAAAAAAAAAAAAAAAAAGGTAATTATTTCAGCTTTAATTTGGGAATAAATTAACAAATCAATATTTGGTGCTGTTTCTTCTGGAAGCACACTGTGGCTGCCTTAACTGGTTTGTTTTTTTTCTTTTGCTTTAAATGGGGTTTAGAGTGTTTAAAACATAGGCTAGCAACCCAAGATATTTGTATTTTTCGGATCCCCTAGCCTGTACTTGGACTGGTTACAGGTGTAACTGCAACATGACTTCTGATACATTAAAGAGATAAAAGATTGCACTAATTGCTATAATTTTTTGTTTGTTTCCTTGAGTGTCCCTATGTGACATGTGCTTGCCAAGCAGAGGAGGGATGTCTGTGCTCCAAGGAGTTCACTTGACTGTTACAAGCAAGACATGGGATTTTCAGTGCCATTTCTTAAGTAGCAAAGGGTAACTGATAAAAGCACAGAGTCAGAACCACAAACATCCATTCACCATATCAATTTTTTTTCCCCGGGCTCTTTTCTTCCCCACGGTTGCTTTCAGTAAATACTGTAGTAGTTGAGTGCCAACAACAAAATATTTGTTGAAAGTAAATTTCAAATGCTGTGAAGAAGTTTGTTTGCTAGAAACTTGGTACCCATTCTTGGTGATGTCAGACACGCCCAAGCTCTGCAGGAACATACTTGTGCTTCAAGGTAAAGTGCTTTGGCTCAGATCCATAAGGATTATTCCCTAACCCTCACTGAAACCAAACACCTTCGAGCCAAAAATAAAAGAACAGATACAGCACTCTCCAGCCAAAGGCAAGTGATGAGTTCAGTGCAAGTTTTGAATTTTGATAAAGAAGTTACAGAGCAGGAAAAAAAAAACCGCTAAAGGTAGCATTCTTAACTGTCTGTGCTTTTGCTTCTTCAAACAGAAGATTAGGGCATTTAATCTACATTCCTTCATCAGCATAAGATGCTTATTTGTTAGAATCAACTCAAGCCTGTTGTAACTGTTTACAGGTGTACTGGTAAGATTGAACTGATTTGTGTACTCTCCGGGTTGAGAGAGGACTTTGTTACAGTAAAGGGTATGGCAATACTACCAAACACCAAGGTGTGGCATTAAAACAACCTTTCTTCTAAAAGAGGAACAAGCAGCATTTTATTATTCATATATGTAAAGATGTTATTCATTTGTTTAAGCAGTTAGCAGGTGACTATCTCAAGTTGCCTATCACACTGGAAAATGATCCTTTGTATAATCTACAAATGTCTTCTGAAAAAGAAATGATTAACTGATTTTAAAAGTGAAGTTATACAGCATAATATTTGCCCTTTGATTTTTCTAAAGGAAGATATATCCCTTCCAGCTCTAAATATTCTGTTATTCTGTGATAGTACATGTGCTTGCCCCATGCTGCCCTGGATGTTATTCTAAAGCTACAAACCCTTTGCTTATTTCAAACCCTGTGCAGCTAACAATGTTACAGAGCTAGTAAATCCTGCCAAGCAGTCTTTGAGAATCTTGTTTACCTTCCACCTTATTTACTGGTGGAAGTGATGGACCATGCTTGTGTATCCATGACAACACTTCAATATGCAAGAGCAGGGCCAGGCCTTTTCTTGCTCCTGCAATATGAGATTAAAAGTAAGAGCCTAAATCTTATTAAATAGCAAAAGCTTTTCAAAAAATAAAACATAGAGTTTATGGGACCATATGATAATTGTTCATGGTAATATATCTGTGCTATTTCAATGTTTTCATTAGTTTCCTCGGTTGACTGTAAATAGTGCTGAATGGTGAACTTACCCTGAAAGAGAAAACTTCACAGCTCATCCTGGACCTTGTAAGCGTCGAGCCTGAATTGTTAAGAATATCTGTTTTACAGGATATTAAATTGGATCATGCTGTAATTTTTATCTTTTCTTGAAAGGTGTTACAGATTCTTTTATATTTTTTGTTCTCGTGCCAAATGCTTTGATTAGGAATGTTACATGATCAAGTGGGTTAGTAATGTAATTGGCAATTTATATTTATAAATCCATGATTTTTCTCAGGGCATTTGTGTTTGCTGTACCATTGATATGTTAGACTGATTTGATTGAGATGTAAATTATGTGTATGTGGTAGAATTTAGACACAAAATGAATTCTTTATGAGCCATAGGTTTTCTTACTTTTAATCTTGATTGCATTACCTTTGCCTTGAGAAAGGTTGTGCACTTTTAAGGTTTAGAAAAACACCTTGAAAAGTTAAATCAAATTAATTCTGTGTTAGAAAATCTATGCAATAAAGGAAGAATTCAGCAATGGAACAATAGCTTCTAGAAGAAAATTTATCTTCCTCTAACATGGTCAAATTCTAGCATAGGTTTCTCAGTACTCATAGACTTAAATGACACAAGATTTTGATTTAATGCATCAGATGTCCTCCAAGTATACTGTATTTTCCAGAAACACTAGTATTTAGGCTAATATCTAATTTACAAGACTAATACATTACCCATATTCTGATTGTAGGATAAAGAAAGTTTTCTGGTTTAATATTAAATGTGTTACATGCGTCTGTTAGTTGATTCACTAAAATTCCAGGTGAAGTCCTGAAAAAATTAGTAAGCCTTAGCTGAGACCAGCCAATCACTGTATACTAAAAAAATGGGCATCAGGGTGTGGCAGCTCTGGAAATGATACAGAAAACACCCAAGCAGCCAGTAACCAGTAGCCAAAAGCCCAGTAGCCAGGCTTTTCAGAATAACAGCAAAATAAAATAGGTTTGGTTGTCTGTGTTTTTTTCCAAGAAAAGGTAATAAATGTAATGGCTTTTTTCTTATTTTCTATCCCATACTGAGCACATTATAATTGGACATCTCTGCATAAACAAAATATATCTCTATTAAAAAGTGTTAAAAAGCTGTTTCGGAAGGTATCTGCTCCTAAAATGGAAAAGACACACAAGTTTTGGTCTTCTGTTGCGTGATTTTGATTAACATACTTCAGGGTGAGAGGGGATTGCTTACACACCTGTTGGTCATGTGTGTGCCTACGCACATACATAAATGAAGCTGCAAATCTGGAGGGTAGCGAGGGGATAAAATTGTTCTTATTGCTGTCTGGGTTAGCATTTACTCAGCCTGTGAGGTCAGAAAGAGCCTTGTGATAATGGCACCCATCTAAGTGAAAATAATTTGAATTTTCAGCAGAAAAAGGAGTGGAAGACTGGATAGGTCTATTTGCAGACTAACTTTACGGTGTGACATCTTTGTTGTTAGAAAAACCAATATTTTTCGAGATTCTATCTTTGATGTTCATGCCAAATTTCTATTCATCTAGTGCAGAAACTCCTCTTTGCAATAATCTTCTCTTTTTTCAAGTTGAACTTGGTAGACCATCACTGTTCTACCATTTTCAAAATAATTCTAAGAAGCTGTTGTACAGAAATGTCAGAGGAAATTCCTAAAAGAAAAAAAAAAACAAACCCACAAAAAACAAACAAACAAACAAACAAACCTGGTCAAAGGAGAGAGTTCTGCAATCCCCATAACACAAGGAGATAGGAATGGGATTGATCCCCTTTGGATAGTGTTGGTCACTCTGGTACTAGCACGTAAGTATTTATACAGTAGCATAAATTTCCAGTACAGGTAGTTTCATTAATCCTTCATTTCTGATGATCCAACCCACTTACTTTTAGAGCAACTTGTTGATACTATGGGGATATTTCCCTCCTTCATGCTGACTGACTGGAATTCAGACAGATGGAAGAGACTCTGAGAGATTTATTCAGTTTGTACAGTTTTAGAGAATAGTGTGTCTTTTTGAGATGTGAAAGGGACTGCAGGGAATAACACTATACCTGTTGCTACTCAGAGGCAGGTAAGGAATATTACAGACTGCAAGGGATCTAGCTGGAGACAATAGCCATTTGTCTCACTTGATACTTTAGTGAGGTCCCCTGTTGGAGTTTGTTCAGACTGTGTAAAATGCTGATTAATCCTCTGAGGACATATGTCATGGATTTCTTGGTTCTACATACAGAGATCCTTTAAAATATTCAGGAATGACCAAAAATTGGTTTGCCATGGTGATCATCAACCCTTGAAGGGTTTGCTTCCAAGGGTAAAAGAAAAATTAGAGATTTTTTCTATCCAATCTGAGAAAACCTGTCTTTTGAGTGCATACGGTTTTGGATTCTGGTTAAACAAAACTTTAAGATTACTTTTCAGGTTATAATGAAGACAGAGGAACAATGCAGAGCTTGTCAACGAAACCAGCAGCAGCTTTACAAAAAGTGGCTATGACGATATCTGCTTTCCTAGTTTTGTTTTCACTTTAATAGGCATGTGTGTACATTTTTCTTATTTAGTACAGAGTATGCAGTGCACCTGAAAGTGTTCAAGGCTGGGTTAGACAGTGCTCTGAGCAACCTGGTCTAGTGGAAAGTGTCCCCACTCATGGCAGGAGGGTTGGAGCCAGATGATCTTTTGTGCCACCTCCAACCCAAACCATTCCATGGCTCTCTGATTAGCATTTGGGAAAATTGCTTCTTTCCTATGGCTGAGCTGGGATATTCCAAAATCTGTCACATCATACATGAATCACCCAGAACTCTTTGGCACATGCTGCAGATATATTTTCAGTGATTTTTTTCTAAAAATATTTAACATATTAGCAAGTTCAGCTGCAAGAATTAGTGATTTTATCAGCTATATTTATGCACCCTGAAGTCAGATATCTTTAGTGTAGTTGCACAATGATAGTAAATGATAGTTCATAAATATTTTTATGCAATAGTAGATTAAAATGCAGGCACTAAATCCAACAGAAAGCAGGTAACAAATTAAGACAGGGTGAAATAACTCACCAAACAAAATTTAAAACAGATGTCTCAAAAATACTTGAAAATTAAACAAATTTTAAGAATGAAGAGAGTAAGACATCCTTGTTTGTAACTTATTTCCACACATAGGCACACAGAGAGATAAAGTAGTTCTAGGAATTATAATCCAAATGCAGGCATAGGAAAAATTCAGCTCTCCTATACATGGAATACTGTAAATTTTTTCTTTGTATTGAGTAAAAGTGAGGAAGGGCAATGGGAGCAACAAAGATAGAGAATTGGGTGATCAACCTTAATTTTTGATTAGTTCAGTAAAAAATAACTATGGAAAACCTGTAGCATGGCCTACAGTTCTCATCAAAATATTTTTACTGTTTGTTCCCTCAGGATGCCAGCCATCAGGGTGTTTCATAGACAAAAATCATAGAATCATTGAATATGCTGAGTTATGCTGAACCCACAAGGTTCATCAAAAGTCCAACTCCTGTCCCTGCACAGGATGCCCCAGAAATCGCACCATGTGCCTGAGAGCGTTGGCCAAACATTCCTTGAACTCAGACAGGCTTGGTGCCGTGACCACTTCCCTGCGGAGCCTGTTCCAGTGCCCGACCACTCCTTTTCCTAAAATTCAACCTAAACCTCCCTTAACTCATCTTCATGCTGTTTCCTTGAGTCCTGTCACTGGTCATCAGAGAGAAGAGATCAGTGCTTGCCCCTCAGATTCCCCTGATGAGGAAGCTGAAGACCAAAGTAAGGTCTCCCCTCAGCCTCTTCTTCTCCAGGCTGAACAGATGAAGTGATCTCAGCCACTCCTCATACAGTTTCCCCTCCAGTCCCTTTACCATCCTTGCGGCCCTCCTTTGGATACTCTCTAATAACTTACTGGTTTTCTTATATTGTGGTGCCCAAAACTGCAAACAGCAGTTAAAGTGAGCCCACAGGCAGAGAGGGACAATCTCTTCCATTGACTGGCTGGCTGGCGATGCTTTGCCTGATGCCCCCCAGGTAATAGAAGGCCCTCCTGGCTGCCAGGGTATGGCTGACTCATATTCAACTTTCCATCAATCAGGACCCCCAGGTCCCTTTCCATGACACTACTTTCCAGCCTCTCTATATGTACATCTTAAATAAAAAATGTAACCACTCTGGGTAGTTTATAGCTTAATCCAGAACATGCAAGCACACTCCTGTTCTTACAGCTGTGACTTGGTCTGAGTTCAGTGGAGTTTTTCTTGATTTATCTCCCTCTGACATAGTTACATGATAGGAAGACATTATTTGCATTAGTCTGAAAATAAACATTATTCTAAGCAAATGTATAAGAATTTGTCTCTCAGACTCACAACATGCATGTTACTGTGTTCCCCCAGCTATCTTTATGTCCCATATGTGTGAAACGTATATATGAATATATTATTTGTACATGGTCTAATCAAACACTTCATATGATGTATCTGTTTAAAGCTATATTAAACACCCATATTTTTTTCTATACACTGCTCTGAAATATAATTATCTCATTTCATATTTTATAGGAGAGATGTAGTTTGGAAGTGACTTGACGTACTTTTGGCAGGAGGCCAAAGCAGATCAGAATCAACATCCAGAAGAAAATGCCAAATACAAGAAAATAACAGTGACTTAATATGATTTAATATCAATAAATTGTTTGAGGTTAGTGGAATGAATCCTTGATCTTTTCTTCGTGTTATAAATTACAGATGATTGTATAATGTATTGTAACAGTTGTAACTCCTTCCAACTAGGTCTATCCATCACAGCCTGGACTGAAACACTGCTTTTTCTTCATATCATGGAGCCAAACTGTTGAGGAAGGTTCACCACAGAAGACCTACTTACCCTGTTCAAAGACCAGTTCCTCCTGTTTTTTACAATTTCCTCTGTGTTTTTTTATTAAAGCAAAGGTACCATCTATTACTCTGACATACTGTTATGCAGCCATCTCATGAACTGACACCTCCAAAGTGGCTTTGGGTTTCAGAACGCAAAACTTGACTTTGAGCTATGCCTAGCACAGCTGGTGCCAAACAATGTGAATTTTCTTCCTACAGCATATATAGAAAGGCCCTGGTGGTGCCCTACCTCTTCCCTTCTCTTCTCTCTTAGCATTTAGATGTTTTATACAAAGGAATCACAGCAGCTGATTTGATTTCACCTCTGAAATCAAATTTGATCTCACCTCTGACACACATTTCACTGTTGAGATTTAATCTCACCTCTGACATACATTTCACTATTGAGCCCTTCCTTCTTCATCATCTACTGCCTAACCCCCAACCTCTCCCTTCCCAGACCAGAAAATCCGAAGTACTTTATACAGAGGACAGATGCTGTGGGCTTGAGGGGGTCTCCAGCCCTGGGGCATCACATGGTTAGGGCATGCTCCAAGTGGCTGCCAGAAGGGATAAAGCTCGGTAAGGTAAATGTGTGACGAAAGCCTATGTTTCCTATGATCCCACTGAATTACCAAAGAGAACATAGCAAAGAACAGATGGGAGGTATCTCTGACTCCTCCGCTGGCTTTTGTGTCATGCCCATGCACTGTGGAGTGCCATGTCCAGTCCAACCTATACCTTCTTTAAGTTTTCATGAGATGGGCAAAGCTGAGAAAGCTCGAGAAGCTGTAGATCGTAGACAGGTTTGGACCTTTAAAGGTCATCTAGTCCAACTCCCCTACAATGACCAGGGACATCTGACATTTGATCAGGTTGCTCAAAGCCCAATCCAACCTGACCTTGAACGTTTCCAGGGATGGGGCACTCACCACCTCTCTGGGCAACCTATGCCAGGGCTTCACCACCCTCATCATAACAAAAAATGTCTCCTTATGTTTAGTTTGAAACCTATCTTTCTGTGCCTTAAAACCATTTCCCCCATCCTATCACTACAAGGTCTACTGAAAAGTCTGCCTCCACCTTTTTTACAAGCCCTCTTTAAATATTAAAAGATTGAAGTCTACTGTGCTGCAGTAGACTTGAGAACAAACAAGGTAACTACCTACAAGGCTTGATAAGACCCACTACTGTTAAACATTCTCTTGCTTTTGCATTTCAAAGACATCTTACTTAACGTGTTTCTCAATTAGTTACCAACAAAGTGATGATATCAGTGCTGCTATAGTATCAGCACTCTGAAGAACATCTATGATATACTGTATCTTCAAATGGACAATAAAATATAAAGCATTATTTATACTGAGTTAACAAAATGATCCCCAAAAGATACTAAAGCTTCCATTTAGCACATCTGTTGTTTAAAAACAAAGGAGCAAGATTTATGTTCATACATCTGCTGCTTGATCTTATCACCACCACCACCACCATCATCATCAACATGATTTTACATTAACATAATTACTCTTTGTGTAATGTATAAATTCAAAAACAACCTGTAATGGCGTTCCAACAACTGCTGGGAATTAAGTGCTTACTTTCCAAAGCCTGGCATAAATGATGTTTGCAAGTATACACTATGTAAGTAAGAGAACTGTTATATCACAGGACACAGGTGTTAGAAAATGAAAATTATTATCAGTTTGCCATAGAGTTAAAAACAATAAGGCCTTAGCTGGTTTTATGTTCCGTAATGAGCAAGGAGCTTAGGCTGCACTCCCTGACATTTTCAGATACCCACTACATTGATTTTTTATTTCAGATAAAAATCACACAAAGGCTGTGTCTCCTGGAATCAAGATAAAATGAAGAGCTTGAAAACAGAATTGAACGAAAACTTTTTAAGTTTAAGTGTGGTGGGACAATCTGTAAAGAAGAAATTTATTCTTCTGTCTAACTGATACGATTTGGACAATTCCAAGACAAATCCTGCACCGCCTACCTATTCTCTATGCTTCAGTGGAGCTGTGTAAAGCTACTCAAAAAGTCATCCAGTTTTGGGGCAGCAAATTTTATTTTCTTTCCCTCCTAAGACAAAAATACTCAAAATGTTAAAGATGCTATAAACCTGCATCACAGCTGTGTAAGGTGGGCAGAGAGAATATTTTTATTAAAACCCTGACACTAGAGAGCTTCCAAGTCCTAAAAAGAAGTTAGAAAAAGTAAATTACAGGGCTATCAACATGGTGGGAAAGAACGGAAGATCAAGAGAAAGCAGGTTTCACTTTCACTCTCTGAATTAGAGGGAAGTTCTCCTTACCTCTTTTTGCTGTGGGATTGATGGGTGTTATGTACAATGTTGGGTAGACAGCAAAGAATGGCCCTCATGTCAGGAAGACAGAATAGTCTCAGAGCAGTTCCAAGAAGAACTCAATTTTAACTGGACTTGAAGAGGACCATAATTATCCTCTTGAACTTTCAGTAGGTTGTGTCAGATACTTCATTAAGAAGGTTCCACTAATACTGAGGTACGCCTGCTCCACGGAGCAGCCTCAGAGAGAAACATTCTGCTAAGCCTATGAGTTGTGCTGCCTGCAGGCCTGACCACTACCTAGAGAGCTGCTAAGAAAGCCCAAATCAATGTACTTGATCTGTGCTGAGAATTGCACGATGTTCCACAATTGCAGTGAGAAGTCATTAGTTCTGCAAAAGCTACTATATAATTCCACGTAGGCTCTTCCCATTCAGAAATATATTTCAATTAAATTAATTTATGAATAAAAAATTAAGTGGAGAATTCAATGGATGGCACCACGGTAAAAGTTTGCCATTCAGGATTCTCATCTTTTTGCTTTAAAAAAAAAAACCTCCCTCCCCCCAAAAAGTGTGAAAACATAGTTCACTTCCACACTCTTTTGTACATCTCTTTTAAAGTATCTATATAAATAAGTACATATGAAAGAATGTGGTTGTCCCAACCATTAGCTAATGTTTTCCACATTTTAGTCCTGATCCTTTTCTTTTGCCTCTCTTAGTATCTGAATATCTTAGTATATCTTAGTATTTTGTAATAAAGAGTTAATGCTAATTTGTTTTTATGTTTGTTTCTTTTGTTTTGCAGATGATGCTGCATTTTATAAAAGCATTTTTAAGATAAATTACTGATTATTGGGAATCTATAATCCTGAGTGCTTTGGAAACAACATATGTTAGCAACAAAAAGAAAACTGTCTTTAGCTGCATTGTGGGATATTCTGAAAACAGTAATTGTGGGAAAACTGTATAATGAAATGTGCAGTTTGCACTGCTTTGGGGACAGGGACAGTTCTGCTTTTGAACAGCATATGGAATAAGAAAAATCTTTGAGAGGAGGCACCACCAAAATCTGACTATCAATAACTTTTATCTGGTCCCTTTCATTATTTCCTTACTGTACCATATACTGGAAATACAGCTCTTCCATTAAATTTCTACTCACTTTTTCCTTGCTTTGCTACCATGGACTATAATAGACAAATGAGTTAATGACATTTTTTCATTCTCAGCATATAAACTTCAGAAACAGGCCAATTTACAGTCAGTCATAATTTTGCAGCAGAAGGCAATGGGGAAAAGCTGTGATCAGTACCCAAAGCATCACATTTCTGTTTTGTAATATTTATAAATTATATCTTAAACTTAAAAACCAGTTGGTTTCTATGAAACGTGTTATGTATATTTAATTCTTTAAAGGTTTCTTAGAGAACTATCTACCTGCATCTTCTCTAATTACTGTTTTCTCAAAACTTTTTACTCCTTGTTTCTTATTCTCAGCAAAATATTAGAGAAGATAAAACTCAATGCAAAAAATCTTGAGCCAGTTTCAATTTACTTGTACTTTTACTGTTATTTTGTATTCATATTATAAATACAGAATTTAGCCTTTTGGAAATCCTGTAGATCCTTTGCAGACAAAATCTTTGTTTATATTGCTTGAAACAAAGATTATAAAATGGAGTTGTGAGATTAGTTCTCTGTGTGTTTAACAGCCCCAATCATTTTTCATGCCATATTCTTCTGTCTGTTCAGAAGACTTTTTCCACCAATACAACTTAACATTTGATGTAATTAATATATATATCTTTTTAATTTTCTAATAAAATGAAGAGTTTGTGTTGCTTAAACATACCTCTTTGGTTGGACTTCTAATAAAAATATTTCAATCATTTTAAATTGCCAGTTCTAGGTCTTTCAGAAAGTTAAGCGGATCTTGATCAGTTTTAATCTGGGTATTATGGTGATGGCTAAAACCTAAAGGTCTGTGCAGCACTGTCCTATAGCAATAGAAGACAGAAGTCCTGACAGCTTTGCTTTCTTCCCCTGAATGAATAGAGTGGAACTAACAGTGCAGTGGGTAAGGTGCATTTAGCCGCAGGTCCAGCTACATTTCCATGCAATGAAGTGTTGGTATCAGACAAACTGCAGGTAACCATCCAGAAAAGAGGAAAACATGCCCATGGACAACCATCCTACTCCCCATTAACTACAGGTCTTTTCTCTGTCCTCTAAACCCTTGAGCTAATGGGAACACAGTGCTGAACTATGCTGGCTAAAGGGCTGCTGAGTCTTGCTTCCACTTTATAAGAGAGAACAACAAGGACTGAACTGTTTCTGCAATATGTCAAGTCTCTTCAGAGCATTTTACATGGGAACTCATTTAAACCTTCTTGCTTGGGAATAATTCACAGGAGAGAAAAATCTGGCTTCAGATTTGTAGTGGATATTGCACAATAGAAAGCAAAAGGCAAAAAGTACAAAATTTGGACTTTAAGTGTGTGCATACAGTAATTGAGGGCAAAATTAGTCCCATGCTACTTAACAGAAAGCAAGAAGAGAGATGCATATGGATCTACAACACAAATCATCACCCTAGGAGGATGAAGGTAATACCACCAATATCCAAAAAAGTGCAAAGAAAAAAAGCCACATGCATTTTTGTATTTCCTTTTCACTGTTATTTCATCTGTGTGACATTGGTTTGAGGAGTTAATAAAATTTCACTGCTACA